AATGAGTTTGGAGAGGTGAAATCTATGTTGCGCTCTAGTCTGGGCCTTCGTGAAGAAGTCCACTAGTTGTAACTCAAAGGCACATACTGAAGAGCAATAACATCATGTTGCACAGGCAGCGCACACATAAGAAGCATGAACACCAATATGCTTGGTAAGCTCATGCTTCACGGGGTCCCGCACAATACTAATAACACCTGTACTGTCTGACAAGAGGGTGGTAAGCGTAGTAACAGAAACACCAAAATCCTCCAGTAACCATCATAACCAAGTCACCTATGCCGTCAGAAGAGCCATAGCTCTCAACTCGGCCTCTGCGCTCGAACGGAAAACTGCAGTCCATTTCTTTGTCTTCCAAGCAATGAGAGAACCATCAAGAAAAACACAGTAGGCAGAAAGTGAACGGCGATCCGAAGGATCACTAGACCATGTAGCATCCAAATAGGCCTCGAGCTGTAACGAGTTGGAACGGGAAAAGAGAGACATGAGAGATCGTGCCATGAAGATATCGTACAACATGAAGAAGAAGGTGACTAGTAAACTGAAGTGGGAGCGGAAACAAACTGACTCGGAATATTATAGGATAGGAGATATCCGGACGAGTGACAGTAAGATAGACAAGACTCCCAACAAGATGACGATAACGGGTCAGACCAGACAAGAGCTCGCTATCAGAAGCGCGAAGGTTAACATTAAGCTCCATAGGAGTCTTAACAGTGCGCTCATCACTAAGAGCCGCACGAGCAAGAAGATCTTGGATATACTTCTCTTGGGAAATAAAAAAGCCATTAGAGATGGAGGAAACCTCAATCCCAAGAAAGTAACAAAGAGAACCAAGATCAGACATAAGAAACTGGTCACTGAGACGGGCCTTGACAAAGGCAATGTACTCAGAATCGTCGCTTGTGATGATCATGTCATGAACATATAGAAGAAGAGTGCGACCACGAGCAGAAAGGTGGACAAATAGCGCTAGATCATGAGCATTGGGCGAAAAAACAGCTGCAATGACCACAGAGGCAAAACGCTCAAAACAAGCATGGGAGGCTTGCTTAAGGCCATAGAGAGAGCGACGAAGACGGCAAACCATGCCATCAAGAACTGAATACCCGGGTGGTGGCTGCATATAAACTTCCTCACGCAACTCGCCATTAAGAAAAGCATTCTTAACATCTAGCTGAGACACAGACCAGTGGCGAACAGAGGCCACAACGAGAAGTGTGCGTACAGTGGTCATATGGGCCACAGGAGCAAAAGTCTCATTGTAATCACAACCATACTCCTGCTGACAACCACGAGCCACAAGACGAGCTTTATAGCGCTCAAGAGAACCATCAGAGCGAGTCTTAATCTTATAGACCCACTTACAAGTGATGGGACGAACACGGGGAGGAAGAGAAACCAGATCCCATGTGCCAGTGCGCTCAAGGGCGGCAATCTCCTCTACCATCGCAACTGCCATTCAGGATGAACAACTGCATCTCGATAAGAAGTCGGCTCAAGAACGGTCGAAAGACCATAGCGAGAAGGAGAATATCGGTCAAGTGGCCGACAAGGCCGAGAACGAAGACCATAAGTCGGCTGAGAGGAGGAAGACAACACAGGAAGTAGAGGGTACATCATTAAGACTTATCTACAACACGTGGACGACGAATATAATGGAAAGGAAAAGAGGGAAGAGGTGGAATCACTAGAGGTGGAGACGAGGAATGTATCGGTGATGAAGGTGGAGAAGCGGAAGGTATCGGTGATGAAGGTGGAGAGTCATGTGATGAGGGAGAAGAAACCATAGGAGAGGATGCCATCGGATCTGCAATAGCGGGACGAGTAGGAATACTGAGCACAGAGGGAGGTGTATTCAGAAACATAAGAAAAGAGATGTCCTCCGTGGAAAAGGCCGAGGAGGATGGGCGCAGGTAGAAGGATCGAGACTCATCAAAGGTCACATCCCGAGAAATACGCATCCGGCGACCGACAGGATCCCAACACTGATAGCCCTTATGCTCATCACTATATCCGAGAAAGACACACTCAATAGACTGAACGGTCAGTTTGGTGCGTTTACAAGGGGCAAACAAAACATAGCAAACGCAACCAAACAAACGAAGCGTCGAATAATCAGGAGAACAGCCAAAAAGGCACAAGAGAGGAATACCACCCTGTAGAGCAGCAGATGGTTGAATGTTGATGAGATAGGTGGAAGTGGTAACAGCCTCAGCCCAGAAGTGAGGTGAAAGAGAAGGGGCGATCATCATCACACGCACCTTCTCAAGAAGGTGATGATGCTTGCGCTCAACCACACCATTCTGAGCATGAACACCAGAGCGAGAGAACCGAGTAAGAGTACCCTGCTCAGCAAGGAATCCTCGCAGCGCATGGGAGATATACTCACCAGCTGCATCTGCACGAAAAACACGAATAGGAGTGAAAAACTAGGTATGAACCATGGCAGCAATTTTTTTGTATATAGATAAGACCTCACTACGAGAAGACATGAAATAGATCCAAGTGAAACGAGAAAAGTCGTCTATAAAGATAATATAGTAGCGATTACCCCCTTTCGAAGCGAAGGGAGCCGGACCCCAAACATCAAAGTGAACGAGATGAAAAGGGCGCTCGGACATTGACTCATTGTGAGGGTAGAATAGTTGAATCTGCTTACCAAGCCTACAACCCAGTCAATCTAACGAAGCGTTATCAGAGACAGACCCCAGAACACCACCATGAACCAAAGATGAGAGACGAGAACCACATAAATGGCCAAGACGATTATGCCACTACTGAAAAGAGCTGGTAGATGCAGCAAAGGGGCTGCGGGACTAGTGGCGGTGGCAGCGGAGGGAAGACGAAGCCAGTCAAGCTCCCAGAGACCATCAGAGTGTCGAGGGCCAGCACCAAGCAGGGCGGCCGTGCGACGATCCTGAACAGAACACAAATCAATGTCAAGAATTACCCTACAACTAGAGTCAACAATCTGACCACCAGATATGAGCTGCATGGTAAGTCGGGGCACATGAGCGACAGAGAGAACATGAAATAAAGAAGTGCTAAGAGTGCCTCGACTAGCTACAGAGAGTGCCATCAGCCGTAAGAACACGAACAGGAGACTCGACAGGTCGAACGGAGGTCAAAGTGGAAGAATCATAAGTCATATGAAAAGACGCTCCAGTACCAAGAATCCATGGAGATGTACCTGAATGATGAGAAGGTGGTTTCTCAGTGCACGAAGAGTCAGTCACAGAACCTGCCGGTGAAGAATCCCAAGCAGCAAACAGGCATCGCAATTGCACAATCTCACACGCAGACAGGGACACATCGGAAGAGGGTCGAGGTAGAAATACCTGCCGACGATGAGCAGTCGCCACCACCCGTGGAAGCCGCGTGTAGAGTCGACCGAGAGTAGCGAGCAGGCGTAGAGCTGCATGTGGAAGCCACTGGAGGAGTCGACGTAGAGCGATCACCTCCGCGCCCGGAAGCCACTAGAGGAGTCGACGTAGAGTGATCACCTCCGCGCCCGGAAGCCGCAAGAGGAGCTGACGTACAACGACCATCACAGCCTGCCGAAGACGTCATAGGGGACAGCATCACAGACGGACGAGAACCAAGCATCGAGCGACGACGTATGTGCGAGACGGGGTCAACATAGGGAACACCAATGAATATCACCAGATAACCAGGATGCGAGGGCTTTTTTTTTGCTCACGGTTTAACCAAATACTAATTGAACCAATCTGCTGCTCACCCTCACGAAGGAAGCCCGGGGGATAAAACAACGGACACTCAACCGTCACGCGCTATCCAGATCAGAGTTTGGCAGCAGCAGAACACGCGGGCTTGCAGGAGACGCAGCCAACACTGGAGAAGCACCACGCGAGGTCGGGCACGTCCAACTGGCGAGATAGAGCGAAGCCGCCACCGGCCGGAGGAGCAGCATCACGCTGGCTCGAAAACAAGCACACGCACACGATGCAACGAGCGGATATTCAGCGCGGTCGGCGAAGCAGCCAGACGGGAGCAGGCACTGCCTGGATCTGATGGGCCAGGGCCGGTCAGCATGCGACGGCAGGGCCACGGCCTGGAGGAGGCAGCTGCCGGCGAGCAGTCATGGTGGGGCCATGGCCAGGAGGAAGCAGCTAGCAGGGCCTGGTGGGCCGAGGTGGGTGGCGCTTGGAGGAGGACGAGGGAGCCGCCGGATCGAGACGGGAGTGACAGCGACTGAGTCCTCCAACCGAAGACACCAGCGCCAGATAGCAGATCGGGTGAATTGGGCGTTTGGCCTTCAGATGCAGTTGTAGATTAGGGGTTGAGGAAGCCTGCGACCACCGGCAAAGAAGGCAACGGCGATGCGCGAGGTTGGATCAGAGGCGAGTTGTGGCGCCAAAAACAAATCTCTAAACCTAGGCTCATGATACCATGTTATGATGCAACATGTATCATTAGGAGGCCAAAGCCAACATATATACATGTACAAGGGGATGCCAAAAGACCAGAACCCCCCCCCCTCTCTCTCGGCCCTCCCTCCCGCCCTAAAGCATAGCATGCTCGCAGCGAAGAACCAAGGAGGCATGGGACGTGACCAGGACGCAGCGCGGCGGTCCCATGCGGGAGGTGAATGCCCAACGCCTCCGTGCTGAGTTCGAAACGATCGCCTTCAAGGATGGCGAGCGGATCGACGACTTCACGATGTGTATCACTGGACTAGTCGAAATGATTGCCTCCACACTTTGTTGTCCTAGCTTAGCTATTAAGTATTGCTAGCATAGCCGGTTTGGCTAGTCTTATAAAAGGACATGTACTCTTGTTTGTAGAAGTAAGCGTGTGATATTGGTATAAACCTATAGAGCTTCATACTACTTCCTTGTGTGCATGTGTGTTGAGAAAACGGTGAGTGGATCCTGGTTTGAGAACCTAGCAGTTCTAACAGACATAAAGAGAAGGTGTTGGAGCGGCTCAAGCCAAGAAAGGGCTCTTGCCTATGTTGCATGGCATCTCATAGTCCCGTGAGTCATGATGAGCGAAGTTGCATGGATGCCATTTTGTATGCTTCAGCTATCGGGTCCAGCATGTATGCAATGTTATGTACTCGACCAGATGTTTCCTATGCTCAAGTGTTACGAGCAGATACCAGGCTGAACGAGGTGAGAATCATTGAACAACAGTTAAAAATATACTTGAATACTTGAGAAGGACTAAGGATATGTTCTAGTTTATGGAGGTGAGGACGAGCTCGTTACAAAGGGTTACACTGATGCTAGTTTCCAAACTGATAAGGATGACTATCAATCGCAATCTCATTTTGTGTTCTTTCTAAATGGAGGTGCAGTGAGCTGGAAGAGCTCCAAGCAAGAAACGGTTGTTGATTCTATAACGGAGGCCCAGTACATCACGGCTTCTGAAGCTACGAAGGGAGATTTTCGGATTAAGAACTTCATTTATGCACTCCATGTGGTTCAGGGCGCGTCCAATTCTTTCGATTCCTATTGTGAGCTATCGCACAAGCCAAGGAACCAAGGCATCACTAGAAACACAAACACATACTCAAGCGATATCATCTCATATGAGAGATTGTTGAGAGAGGTGATGTAAACATATGCAAAGTACACACGGATCTAAATATTGGTGATCCACCGAAGAAGCCTCTCCCGCAGCCAAAGCATCAGGCGCACACAAGGGCCATGGGCATATGATGCCTAAATGATCGACTCTGGTGCAAGTGGGGGACTGTTGGAAATATGGCCTAGAGGCAATCATGTGATGATGTTATTTCCCTATGTATTCATGACTTATTTGTATTGTCCTTGCACATCATCACTGATATGTATCGATAATTATGTGACTTGTTTGTTAGACTATATATTGTATGATAATTATTCTAATGTTCCCTGGTTGATAAGGTTATACAAACACATATCCTTTGACTGGTATATGATTCGGTTAATGACTATGTTTCGCAAGCCATGGGCATAGACATGCTGCCCGATAGTATGAACTCGCGGATGGGGATCACCGAGTCAAACATATCCACTTCAAGACGCGTCAAGATATTGTAATTTGTTAGTCTCAAATACAACTTATATGTCGTGTCCTAGACTTGAGATCTTCGCATGTACTCAGGATGTCAATCGACTTGGGATCTATCAAACTCTCCTCCATAACTAGGTAGTTATAAAGCTAGTTTTGTTTTAGTCATAAAACATGCCACGAGACATGGTTGATTGGTTGGTCGATGTAATAGCCCAGGAGTAGCACATTTTATTAGCCACTGAAGAAAAGAATAATATGGTCTCGATGCCAAACCATAAAGGAAATGAAAGGAACTGGAACAAAATAAAACATTTGAGTGGGCAAAACACTTGAAATGGACAACAGGATATAATCTAATTGTTGTAATAGGCTGAAAAAGTGTAACTAAATGTTTTAGTTGTTCCCTTGGAAACCATCATATGTTTCAAGCATATGCATCACTTTTACACAGAAAAGGTAGAACACATCCATAAATAGGCATATTTTATTTACTAAGCAAGATCTCTTCCAGAATGCTTAAGTCACTTAGTTTGCGCCGGTCCAGTTTGTTTTCTAGTTTACCTTGACCAGACCAACCACAGCATGCCTTATTGAATATAATTTGCTCGTTATTAACTTGCTTAGATGATATTATAGCAAGTTTAGGAAACTGTCCAAGGATGTACCATCTCACTTGACTAGTTTGGCACAAAGTTATTTCGGTTGGAAGAGTTACCTTGATTACAGCCGTCCATTTATTGCTACTTTTAACAGAAGGATTCAACTGAACAGCCATATCAGGTTCCCAACAACCCAGGGTAACTGGATCACCTGTTATGAAGATAATGTAACCATCCATAACATCTGCTTTAACGCTCCATGATATCGTACAGAATCCTTTACATGTTATGGCTGAGTCATCTGTAAGAAACCAACTGGGGATGACATAAACTTCAAAATATCCACAATGTGATGAGGTATTTTAGGTGCACATGCTTTTAACCTTAATATTAACACTAAAACAAAAATGAACAGCTTTACTGAAACAGAAAAATCAACCAGTCTACTGGTGCTACACAAACATTCTCGATTGATGTTGGCTATTGCCTATTTGGCTTTGCTAGTACAGATTAGAACTTCTGGATAATTTTTCTTGTTGTTTTGGTGTTCTTAACCTTCCCCCACTGCTCGTACAGAGCCAGACAATGACATCACATGGTTTCAAAATTATCGATATCCAATATTTATGCATTGAAATATACAAAGAAAACTAAAAGGTTGTTACCTCATTTCTAAATTCACGTCAATTTTGGTTAGTTTGGTATGTACCAAAATAATATGGTATATAAAGAAACCGAACCATATTTTGATTTCATATTGTATTTACTTAAGTATTGACACAGTATATACCAGAAAACATACTCCCTCTGTTCCATAATTCTTGTCATGGTTTTAGTTCAGATTTGAACTAAACGAATATGAATGCAGAGTTAGCCTTTATGTGACAAAATATATCAAATTTTCTAATTTGAAGGCAAAGGAGAAATTCTGTATTGATATAGTAATGATTAAAAATGATGGTGACTTCACATTTGCATACACTCAATCACAGTCATAAAGGATACGGAATAAATGTGAACCTAGACTAATATTACCTAGAAATCATAATTAATGTACAACTTTGTATTAGCACAACAGATTGTAAATTCAGATAACCAAACAATAAAATACCAAAGTTACAGACTAACATACAAAAATTGACTGACTGTCCATAGAAGTGCCAAGTAACGTATCCATATTTTCTCATGTTTTATCACATGGTACCTAAAAGATATGAAGGCATTCAACCTAAGCTAAAGAAATTACCATGTCCTGTAGACATCAGTTGAGTTGGGGAATGAGACGAGTTTGCTTCCACCTGAAGATTGCCACTGGGGGATTCTGTCAATTGCACTGAACACAAAGTGTGCCTGAATAAATATGAGTTGCCAATCAACCACGGGATCAAGTGGCACAAGGGAAATTGAAGCTCCGTTCATCTAAGCAGGCAAAGATACTGTTCTACTGCCCACTAGAATCAGAAACAATCCAGGAACTCTTCTTACTGCCTTCCATATTATTATTATTATTATTATTATTATTATTATTATTATTATTATTATTATTATTATTATTATTATTATTATTATTATTATTATTAGCAAACATAAGACTAATCCAAGAATTCACTCACGATGATTTCACGATAAATACATGAACTCTGAACTGTTACTTTAATAATGTGCGAGAAGCAAGTCACTAAGCAAAACCACACAAAAAAGATTCGGTATCAGCAGGATATCCACACAACCAAATGAGGATGAAATCCAGGAAGGGACCTTCCCCGGTGGCCGGTCAGCGCTGAGCTGAGACCGGCGGCGACGCGCGGGGTTGCCCGCATGGTACCCAGAGGGGGAGTTGGAGGCAAAGGGGGTGCGACCAGCGCGCGGGCAGCCATGGCAGGGCATCACAGGGACGAGGTCTCTCCTCCGCGTGTACCCACCACCACCACCACCACCATTTGCTGTGAGGATAGGGGGATTGGAGGAGGGCGTTGGGGTTTTAGAGGGGAAAAAAGTGGAGATGGGAGGACACGCTGATGGACACTAGATTGAGAAAGCTGGAGGAGATTGAGAAAGCTGGAGGAGATAAGAAGAAGGGCTTTCTCGTTATTATAAGGTGCGTGGGGAAGCCGAATTTTGGAACCGGATACACGCTCTCTAATTTTTTTTTTAAGGGAAACGATTGGGCGCGGTGCGCCGGCCGAACTTTGGGCCGGTCGCATCCACGCGCGCTTTGCTCCAGCCACCCACCAGGCGACACGTAGACATGGGGGCCACCAAACGTTATCCTTTCTGCTTTCTTCCACCTCGCGCGGATCTCGCCCCACAACGCATGCATCTCTCGCCTCCCCTGATGCAGCACGTGAGCAGCTCGCCGTCGGCCATGGATGAGCTTGGAAGATCGAAGTCCCCGTCGGGCCATGGTTGCAGCCCCGCTCGTGTTCCCACCTCCCCCTCTTCCTTCTTCCTCACTTCCTTTCTCCTCTTTTCCCCTTTTTTTTGCTGCAACCGGCGGCAGGCAAAACGTCGTGGAGGGGACCGAGGTGCCCCGTGCTACGACCATGGTGACTGGGGGGGAGCTGCAACCGCGGCATCGGGGAGAGTTGCGAACAGAGGAAAAAGCTACAACCGTGTTTCCCCATGCTACAACCGTGGACGCAAAAAGCTACATCCAACAGATAAAAAAGCTTCAACCAAACAATGGAACAGAGGAAAAGTTACAACCGTTTTGACAAAAGCTTCAACCCGCAGATGAAAAAGCTTCAACCAGAGATTAAGAAATCTTCAGCTGGGGGATTTTTTCGCAACCAAAATGTTGGACACAGAAAAAGCTGCAACCCTTACAAAAAAAGCTTCAACCCTGGGTGAAAAAAGCTTCAATCGGCATGGCGGAAGTTTTTAATGTGCGAAAAAAGTTTCAACCGGCATAGAGAAAAGCTGCAACCGATGATAGAAAAAGCTTCAACCCGACTCACCAATGGTGGCAAGCGGCGAAGTTGAGAGCTGCACGGCGACACGACAAACGCAGCGACGACGGCGGCTGATAGGTGCTGCAACGACAGAGGGGCTTCGGCGTGCTTCAAGGCGGCGGCGTTTTTTGCTACAAGGGGGCAGCGACTTCCTGCTGGGAAACGCGAGGGGTGCTGCGACGGCGACCGGCGGCGATGGGGACGAAGAGCGCATCCAGCAACATGGGACTGCGAGGGGGGGAAGAGGTCCAGGTGAGGGGAGGAGGGGTGGGCGGCGGCACGAGGCGGCCGGGGTGGGCGTGCGCGGAAGAAGAAGAAGAGAGAAGTCAACGCGGAGGGGAGAAGGCAGATCTGACGGCTTTGGTTGGCTGCATCGGGCGGCTGGGACGCGACCGGCCGAAACGGTTCGGCCGGCGCGCCGGCGCCTAGCATCGCCCTAAAAAAACTTACAATCTACTACTACCTTCGTCTAGATTTATTGGCCTTCTTCTTATTTTGTGTCAAATTTTGACAATAGATGAAAAAATGTATATTGTTGGATTCGTATTCAAAAGAGGTTTTCAATTATACTAATTTTGTACTGGTATTTATAAAAATGTCCTAGTATATAACTTATTTTTTGATAATTAAATCAAAGGTCAAAAATTGACTTAAAATACAACGGGACTAATAAAATCAAAACAAATAGTACCTGTGATGTGTATAAGTAGACGAACTAATAACGACTACAAACACTAAAGCAAGACGAAACCTTGTCGTGTCATTGCCCCTTCCTCACTATAGCCGGTAAAATCTTATTGTAGTAAACAGTCGAAAGCTGTCCGCTAAAAATCCAGAGGGCCAACGCACCAAAATAGCAACCATGGCAGATAAAGATAAGCTTAAATCGGAAGAATCAAACATGACACTACACAAACGGAAGACTATATCCAAACAGATTCACCAAAGATCAACCCCGTGAAAATCACCGAGCGTGCCTCCACATGGCCTCTAACGACACTTAATGCACCGTCGAGATGGCGGCTAGGCGGAAAGGACCGTATTCCATTATCTGTAAGATGGTGCTGCCTCGCTTCCCTGGTAAGGGCACAAACCCTATAATCGAACTGAAAATTGTAACTAAAAACGAAGTTCGAGCCCTCCCGTCAGCAAAGGCAGGGTCCACTACACCTGCATGGCCCTAAAGCCACCAGGTGTGGCAAACCGAAGACAGGGAAACCCTAATCGCATTGCCACCCAGAGATGCAAGACCAAGTGGTACAATATTTGATACGTCTAATTCTCATCACACGCACATCCTTTATGAATATTAAATCAAAGAAAATGGTAGAATATCAAATAGTTCTGGATATTTTTATATACATAGTCAAGTGTTCTACTCACGTGTAAAGTTTCATGGAGAAATAATATCAATGATATTTTGGGTAAAAAGGACAAAAATGATGCTATAAAAACCTAATGTTCAAAGCAATTTGGAGATATGATTTGTTTTCTTCGACAAACTTCACATGTGGGTACAACAATCGACCAGGTTTGTTGACCTAAAATTTTAGAATTGTTTGATTTTTCTATCGTTTAGATTTTACTATTCATGAAGTTTGTCCATGTACCCATACCCTGAGAGCTAACGGTCCGAAGTCGAGTTCGCCAGCTTGGTTGTCCTACATGCATATGCAAACCCCATTGCTCTGTTAACCATTCATAACAAAGCAGCTAAGGTTCCGTAACCTGGGATCTAATGCCAACTTGTAGGCCTCGGGACTGACACTATGCGGATCTAGCAACTTCACTAGCCTCCGCATAATACTGATCCTAAGATACCACCTTCACAAAGTGTAAGCGTTGGAAATGTGCACACTCTGTGACAGGATGGTCGGTATCACACGTATTACAAATATTCTTCAAAAACAACAACAACTTCAAAAAGTCAAATAATGAATAGATACAACAAGGGTCTCTCAACCAAGAAAGAGCTCATGCAACCTAAGCGAATAAAACTATAGACAGTTAAGGAACAACAATTACCTTAATAAGACTTAAAGTAAAGCAAATGATGTCCATATCTCTGCCTAAACCGTTGTCTGAAGGCAACCAAGCTAATGTCATCCATCACCATACTTGTTCTAAATAAGTTGCAAGGATGGTTTAAGCAAGGTGAGTGCATGACATACTCCGCAGGTCTTATTACACAGGGTGACTAGACAAACTAAGCAATAGGTATGAAAGGGATAAGTGGTGAAGCAGGTGCAAGCTCGCACATGTGGCGACACACTACAACTATGTTGATCATAGGCTAGGAAAGAGAGAACATCTAAAGAGGTAACCCGTCGTTGGTGTCAAAACTGGCAGACCTCGGGTAGGGGGGCCGAGCTATTAGATCGGATCGATGGGTAACAAGAGACAGGGTACAAGGTGTTTTTACCCAGGTTCGGGCCCTCTTTGAGGAGGTAAAACCCTACGTCCTTCTCTTGCTTATATTGTGGGTGTATCAAAGTATAGAGTTGATCTACCTCGAGATCGTAAGTTGTGGACTAACCCTAAGGGTAATGGTGATGATGATCAATGTGTCTCTACGGACTAAATCTTCCGGTTTATATAGGCACCAGGGGTATCTAGGGTTACACATGGTCGGTTGCCATGTAGGGGTTACATGTCGATCCTAATAGATATACTTGGAGTACACGCCAAGTCCTCGGTGAAGCCTGATACGCTTACACCACAGGTTAGAAGCCTTCGGAGTCCTTCCTCATCAGCAGAGGTTCAATCCGTCCCATGGACTAGACCGGCTAGGCTGGGACCCCCTAGTCCAGGACACATCAGTAGCCCCGGAATTGGCCTTTGATGCCAAGGACGACAGTCTTCTATGGACGCACAACTTCGGCTAGGAGCCTTCGGCTCGACAGGCGAGTTCCTATTCATGATTTGAATTCGACTTTGAAGTCTTTGCTTTGAACATATGAGTTCTCTTTGGCCCTGGTCCCATCGCATGTTGTCTTGAGTGTTGTGTAGTTTGGGGAATCGAGACGCTTTTACAGCCAGACGTTGAAGCATCGCTTTTTCTCGCCTTATTTAACAGGTACCTGGCCCAAAGCACGACCAAGCGCATATTGGCCTTCCCCTCTCACGGTTCAGCGCCAACCTCCAAAGTCTAGCTTCAAGAGCTCCAGTAATGGCGAATGACACGGGCTCTTCTAGGAGCCCCCATGGTCCCCTCAAGGGAAACTGGGGAAGCTGCTCCTTCTTGTGTCTTCAACTAAATTGGCTTTCCACCCAGGGCTACCTGTTGGATCCAGATTCGGCCTCCACCCACCCGGGCTTAATATCCGTAGACGAGTAGACGCATGCCGACAGCCATCCCATCCCTCACGGGGATGAGCGGGTATGCTTTGTTTCTTTCCTCCTTCATGTCATGTGATTTGATATGCATACGTTCCTCCCAGGCTTGCTTGAGTTCTATGGGATCCAACTCCACCACCTGACCCCCAGTTGGATCCTACACATCGCAGGGTTCATCGCCCTTTGCAAAATGTACCTCGGATGCGCGCCACACTTCGGGATGTGGAGGAATTACTTTTGTGTGATGCCCTGTTACCGAGACGGGAAACTGGCTGAAGTGGTAGCCGCCAAGGTATGCTGAATAGTCGGGACTGGCTACCCCGCTGGAACAAGAGGTGGCCCACACGGCCTAACTACACTATTTGATGTGAGATATGACTTATGAACAATGTCTGTTGCTCATCAATAGTGCTCCGCTGTAGAGCATGGTCGTCTCATCCCCGCAGGTCCGATGATATGCCTGAGGTTGACTTTGCCGGGCTGCAGCCGGACGGGTTCCAGCCGAACGGGCTCCAACCGGACGGGCACCAGCCGGCCAGGCTGCAGCATGACAGGGGTTGCTCCCCTGGAAACTTTTTGAAATGGTTTCTTGTCTCCTTG